CTGGGGCTCCAGTCGCCAGTTTTCGCTGTGACGCATTGGTTCGCAACGTCGGCTCTCAGGGAAGGGTTGGCGAGAGGGTGGAGGCCTTCTCAGAAGGCATGGGGGGCTCAAAACTCCCGATCAGGTCTCTGATAGGGACCCTCAGGACGCAGAACTGCCTCCTGCTTGCAGCCCCACGGCCATCTCACAAGGCCGGCACTCCTTGCGCCGCCCCCTCCCCTGAGGCCCGACGTCGCGCAGAAACTGCACCATCGTGCAAGCAAGCGGAGCCCGTGGGCCCCATCGTCCAGCGGCACTCTCGAGCTGCATCGAGCCGTCAGGGCCCCAGGGCCTGAAACAGGGCAGGCAATCGCCCGTCGTCTCCTCCTCCTCCTCCTCCTCCTCCTCCTCCTCCTCCTCCTCCTCCTCCTCCTCCTCGTCCTCGTCCTCGTCCTCCTCCTCCTCTTCCTCCTCCTCCTGCTCCGAGATCTCGGGGCTTCTGCGCGCCGCCCACATGGCTCATGGCGTGCGCCAGGCACGGCGGGGCTGCCGCGGCGGCCGCGTGATCTCCGCCAGGAGGACGTGCAGCTCTGCGTGGTGCGGGGGGTGCTGGGCGCAGCGACCGCGCTCTCGGGCGGGCGCGCCGGGCCGCTCGAGGGCGGGCCCTCGTCTGGCCCGTGCGCTCTGGAGGGCTCTCGGGTCTTGCTGCGGAAGTGGGCCCGGCCCAAAGTAGTCGACGCTCAAAGACTGGTCTTACGCGAGATGACGTCCTCCTCTTCCTCCTCCTCGTCCCCCTCCTCCAGCTCCTCCTCCTCCTCCTCCTCCTCCTCCTCCTCCTCCTCCTCATCATCATCATCATCCTCATCCTCATCCTCATCCTCATCCTCATCCTCATCCTCATCCTCATCCTCATCCTCATCCTCATCCTCATCCTCCTCCTCCGCAGCAGCAGCAGCGCGGAGTCGGAGGAGAAGGGGCATCCGAGCGGCGATCAAAAACGAGTCTTACGTGAGGTAGCACAGCGACCTCACGCGGCGGCTTACGCGCGCCGCTGGCACGGCACGCCAAACTGGAGACGAGGGCGCTGACGCGCGACCTTACGCGGGCGGCTTGCGCGCCCATGTCGGCGCAGACGACCCTGCTTTTTGGCGTCGTTCAGGTGTCACCAGCTCTTTGTGCCACGGTGCAGATGCTCGATTTTCTTTCACGAAATCTGGGGTCCATGCAGGTTGCTGCTTTCTCTTGGGTTGTCTGATGGGTGCAAGGCCCCTCGGGCCCTCTGGGCCCGCTGCCGCGAAAGCCCGCGCATCGTGGCAACCCCAGAGAATCTCGCTGAGTGCCCAATTTCCAAATCCCCAGGGGGTTCCCCTAGTTCGGCGTTATGGGACACCCATCGCCGGACGACCACCCTCGGGGCCTCGTGAGGGGTGCTCTGGCAGCAGCCACCTGCGCCTCCCCGGGGCAGCTGGGGTCACATTGGGCCAGGGCATTGGAGGCGGCTAAGGGGGGTCTGACCTGGTTGGGGCGCCAGAAATTCGATCAGGAGGGGGATGAGGCAGAATCCACTTGAAATCGGTCCTGGGACCCCTCCTGGGGTCCATCTGGTGCCGGATCCGTTCCTGACGGTCAGAGGGGCCCGTACAGGGCACCAGGGGGGCGAAACTGGCAGAAAACCTTGCCGAACCCAGGACCTCGAACCTGCCCGCCCACCCTGCTGGCCGAAACGAGTGCGGGGCCACCTCAGACCCCCAGACGGCTCCAAGCCAGGGCCACCTCTTGCAACACCCGAACAGCAGGGTCTCCAGCCGCCGCGCCCACGCCGCGCCCCGTCGGACCGGGACCTGTCCCCGGCGCCCGCTGGGCCGCGGGCTCTGTCGTTGCGGAAGCGGGCCGCCCGTGGTGCAGGGGGGCGGCGGCACCCGACCCCTGCCCCAGCCATGGACTCTCCTGATGGGAGGCGAGGGCAGGGCTTCGGATTTCGCCGCGCGCTCGGCGAAGTCCAGAGCCTGCCCCCGCCGCCCCTGGAGTTGCCTGAATCTTTGATCGGCGAGGGTGGGCTGCGGACTTCGTCGCCGAGCGACGGGGTCTGCTGTCTGCCTCGGGCCTCCTCGAGGCGGCACCTCTCGGAGGGGGATGGAGAACCCCCCGTAGCAGAACGACCCAGGCCAAGACGCAGCGGGCGCGGGCCCGCAAAGAGTGCGGCCGCAGAGCTCTCTCGAGAACTGCGGAAGAGCAAGTCACTTGAGGGTGCGCGGTCTATCGAAACCTCCGGCCCCCCCGAGGCCTCTACTCCCTGGGCCCCTCCTGGGAAGCACTTCGACCAGACTCTCAGCGGGAGCCCAGCCGCGGCGACGAGCGCTCTCCAGGGCGAGCAGCGGCGTCGGCACCTGCTCCTCCCCCTCTGCACCTCGGCCTATGGCAGCGGGCGCTCCCAAGAGGTGTGCGCCACGCGCTAGTCGCAGTGCGTGCGGTTCAGCACCAGGCGGCTGGACACCCAGGGCGCGCCGGAGTCCGCCAGCAGCTGGTCGGGCGGGCGGCAATTAGGGGGTGACCAAAGGGTGGAGGGAAGAAAAGTGTCCCTAAAGGGGAGGAAAAGGGGGGGGCCGAGAGGGGACTTTCTGTGGCATGTTGGGGCTTTCTGTGACCCCTTGGAATCGTTTGTGGCCCCCTTGAGCTTTCTGTGGCGCGGAAGGCCTGCTGGGGCTTTCTGTGGCCGAGCCGCCGCTTGTGAACACCATGCTCCAAACACCATACGACGCACGACAACTTCAACTTTAGACACAGACACGACACGCACCTAACCTTAGAGACACAAGCACGAGAAGTTTAAACCTTAGAGACACATGCAAGACACGCACTGAAACCGTAGAAGCACAGACACGACACGCACCGAAACCTTACAGACACAGACACGACACGCACTTGTACCTTAGAGACACACACACACACGACGCGCACTTAAACCTGAGAGGCACAGACAAGACACGCACTGAATCCTTCGAGACACAGGCACGATACGCACGTCAACCTGAGAGACACAGGCACGACACGCACTGATCCCTGGATGGAAGAGGAGGGGGGGGAGAAGGAGGAGGAGTAGGAGGAGGAGGAGGAGGAGGGGAAGAGGAAGAGTGACAGATTGCGCTCGCCGTATTTGCCCGAGATATCCCGTACTGATGTCCACGGTTGTTTCGTACCCATTGTGGAATTAACCGGATTTAGATCGAGATGTTGATTGATGTTGTTGGGGAAATTGTCGGGGAGATTGCTTATTCCATTGTTTAAGATATCGTTGATTGTGTTGTGTACGCTATTGTTGATTAAAGTGTTCCGAGCAGTGCTTGCTATGCCTCTTGATGTATTATGTAAGGTATTGTTTCGGATGGTGTTCATGTTTCCCTCCAGGATTTGGGCTCGGCTATTGTGTGCGAGTTTGGTTTGGATATGAATTGTTTTGTAATGTTGTTTCGGGGATAGGCAACTGCTATGTTTTGTGGTCGGCCTTCTATTCGGTTTTCGCTACAGTCTGATATCAGGTATGATCATAATGACCATATGGAATCCCCCCCGGTGTCATCGTATGTATATTCGTATGCCTCCCAGTCGGTTGTTTACCGACGGTCCTATCCAATGGGTCGAACTATAGCTATAATAGGTCCTATCTTAGGGCTTGTCTCATAATAAAGGTTATCCCATGTCGCAACTGAAGTCTTGTCGCAAGGCTTATCGCCGTTCCTGTGAATTCGGTAAGGATCCTCAGGATCCCCTTGGACACTGGATCTTCAGGAAACCCTAAGGATCCGGAGATATCCCCACGATTTCCTAGGAATCCCCACTACTCCTTCGGAACTCTGCGGCGTATGAATCCCCTGGAATCCGATGTGGAATTCTGAAGAATCCGTCGGAATCCTTCGGGCTCCTTGGGGATCCCCAGGCGTCCTTGGGAGTCTGTACGAATCCTCAAGAATCTGCTGGGAATCCTGATGGATCCCGAGGGATCCTGAGGCAATCCCGCGGGATCCTTCGGAAACCCGCGGAATCACAAGGAACCCCTCGGAATCCCGACCAGCCTTGCAGAATCCAGGGGCATCCAAAGGAATCCCGAGGCGTCCTGAGGATGGGTTCCTGTAATCGTTTTGAAGAAGTGTGTCTGTGTGTATATGTGTATAAGTACATGTAGATTATTCATACTAGAAACATCGCGCGCGCTTAGGTTCTAGCTGGTCGAGTGCTGACCGCATTGAGACAACAAGGCGGTCATGAATAATGAGGTCAACATTCTCTGTTTCCTCCTGCCTCTTCCTCATTCCTCCTCCTCCGCTCTCATCGACCAGTCGACCGGTGATCTGTCGCCGAGCTTCTTGGGGACCTCTTGACCTCTCCTGGGGGTCTCCTGGGGCGAAGATCTCGGGTTCTCGGTTCACTGTCCCGATAGTGGCCTTCGGCCCATCCTGCCACCATGCCTGGGTTGCGGGTTAGAGGCCTCTTGGAAGTTCGTTTGGAATTCGTGGGAGGCTTCCCGGGGGCCTCTTAAAGGCAGTTTTGGAAGCCTCTTGGGGGCCGTTTGGGGTGCTCGTGGGGCGTGTTTTTGGGCCACCTTTGGGGCCTCGTGGGGCCTCCAGGGGGCCTTTCGGGGGCCTCTTGGGCTCTGTTGGGGGCCTCTTGGGGCGTCCTGGAGGCCTCTTGGGGCGGACGGCTCGAATTGTCGGTTCGTGTTCCTCCTCATGGCCGCCCCACTCTTGGGGCCGTCTTGGGGCCCTCTTGGGCGATCTTGGGCGCCTCTTAGGCCGTCTTGGGGCACAGGACTCTCTTGCGCCGTCGTGGCGCCCTCTTTGGGTGCCTCTTGGGCCATCTTGACCTGATTTCTGGGGCCTCGTGGGCTGTCTTCGACCGTCGGAAGCAAGAGCACGAAACACTTTCAGCAAAAACCATGGAAGAATCTACTCGTTTCGTCTCCTGAGTGCCTCGTGGGAGCCATGTTGAAGGCATCTTGGCCGTCTTGAAGCCCTGTTGGGCTGTCTTCAAGCCATGTTGGACCAATTGTGAAACGGTCTTGTGCGGTCTTGGGCTCTCTTGGAGCGCTCTTGGGCCATCTTGGCGCCCTCTTGGACGTCTCTCGGCACCCTTTGACGTTTGTTGGCGCCCCCTGCCGGGCCCGAAACGGTCGAAGACAAATCAGTGCACTTTGGGGGGCCCAGGACCCCCTACCCATTTATGTATATATATATATATATATATACATACATATGTACACATCCCTGGGAATCTGGAAGAATCCCTTGGAACTCGTAGGAATCCGTAGGAATCGCTAGGCAGGCCTCGGAATCCTTCGGTATCCATAGAAATCCTCAGGACCTCCTTCGGGGGCCATAGGAAAGCAATTGAATTGCACAACGTGAAACAGAATTGGAGAACATGAACAAGAAATCAACAACATGAAATAGACCCAACACGAAGGAGAAACATCAAACACGCAATCGAGATACCCAACGTGACATAGAAATGCCAAAGATGAAATAACCCAACTAAATCTGGAAATGCCCAACGCGAATATAGCAAGAACCAAATACGCGATATAAATACACAACCTGATATAGAATTGCCGCAAGACGAAACGTAATTGCCCAACACGATTTTTAGACTGACCAACACAAATAAGAACGACCACACACGCAATAAACATGCCCAGCGTGAAATACAAATGCACATCATGAAAAAGGAAAGGCCCAGCGTGAACAAGAACTACCCAACACGAAGAACAACTAGTATGCACGCAGTAGAAGTGCCAAACGTGAAATAAACATGTAAAAACGATGCCCAGAACAAGCCAGCCGTGCCACCCACAAGTGATACGTGTCAAACACGCAATAGGAATGTCAAACGTGGAACAACAATGCCAAACATGAAGTAGACATGGACGCCAAGAATCAAACATGACTATACGTGCCCAACAGCAAGAATATCATTAAACGCACAGCAGAACTGACATCGAGAAAAAATGCCAAACCTGAGATCGAATTATCCAACATAAACAAACTATGCCCAATACGAAACAGAGACATCAAACACGCAATACAAATGCCAAACGCGAAAGGGAAACTCCAAACAGGCCATAGACATGCCCAACACTATTTAGAAACGCCCAACACGAAAAAGGAATCCCAAACACGCAATGGAAATTCACAACAGGGCATAGAAACGCAAAGCGCGAGATAGAAACACCAAACATGAGCTAGAACTGCCCAACACGAATCAGAAACATCAAACACGCAATATTATGGCCAACGTGAACTAGACATGCCCAACATGAATAAGACACAACAAACCTGCCATGGGAATGCCTAGCGTGAACTGGAAATTACAAACATTACATAAAAATGCCCAACATGAACTAAGACATGCCCAGTAGGAACGCGAATGATCATCCACGCAATAAAAGTGCCCAACATGAACTCAAAATGCTCAAGAGACTTGAGATGTTTGGGCCTGGAGGCTTCTTGAAGATCCCTGATCAAGACGGCTGAAAACTACAAAACACCCGAGGGCGAACCCATTTCTTACAGGGGCACGGCTGCAGACGCGACGAATGGAAGGTAACGTTCGCGATGTTCCAGGCCATTTCGCCAGGGACAGCCTCGGACTTCTGAACATGGATGGCGCCGCTCACGCAAATCGCGGCGCCATGAAACATAGGAGCTTCAACAGTTTACCACACAACCTTCAAAAACACAATGTAATTTGAATGGTAGTGAAATGGTTGCGATCGCGATATTCCAAAGCATGTTGCTTTTCTATGTATTATCAAACGGGCCTCTTCGAAGGAGTGCAACTCGGAGGCGATGACCGGAAAATCTCACTCGCGATGATTATGGCTGTTTCGCTCGGGACATCCTTGGATTTCTGAAAACCGGTGGCGAAACCTCACGCAAATCGCGGCGTCATGGCCCCGAAGAACATTAGAATTCCAACCGTTTGATCACACAGCCGTCAAAAACGCCATGTAGTTTCGATGCTTCTACACACGATTGCTTCAGCGGTATACCAAAACATCCGGGTTTTCTGTTCACTTTCATGCGGAACTCTCCGAGGGAGTAGAGGTTGGAGGCGATTGTTTGAAAATCCCGTTCGCGATGATTCTGGCCGTTCGTTCGGGACATCCGCAGAACTTTGCAAACCGGTGGTACCCTTCACGCAAATCGCCGCGTCATGGTTCAAACACTTATGGATATTGCACACATGGTTCGTATACATGTCGTTTATAATTCGTATACGTTTCGTCTACGTTTCGCATACGCTCCGCGAACTTCCAGTATGCGTTTCGTATTGTCCCGTCGGAAGGAGTTGTAGAGTGAGTTCGACTGTTTCCACTACCTCTACATCTACATCTAAAAATGATACAAGGAATGCTTCTACTTCGATGCTACGACACCTCCGCCTACAACTTTTACTACCACTACTACTACTACGACAACGACTACGACTACTACGACTACTACGACTACTACGACTACTACTACTACT